TATATATATATATGTAAAATACACGTAAAGTATATATATATATATATATATATATAATATAACTTAATTAGCATATATATGTATTAAATAATAATAATAATTATTAAATATGATATATTATGGAATGGATTTGATGTTTTAAAAGTCACAAGTTCCCAAGCAATCAACACCCCCTATTAAGGGGGTGCCATTAGCACTGCCCATAATTAAACGTTTGTAACAATAACCGTAAAAAATTAATCAAAATACTAAATATAAACCAACACAAACTTTGTTACGTTTAAGACATTTTACATTTATACCCCTACAAGACCACAAAAAGGAACATATACACACCACTACCTACCATTCTACCACAAAAAAAAAAATCAAAACACAACAACACTTGTTAAAAGAACCAAAAAGAAAACACATTACCTATTGATTTTGGGTGTGTATACAACAAGATTTTAAGTTTTGATCAAGTCCAACCTTGTTTGTACCTTTCGAAAAGTTCTTCGGTTTGTGCATTTCTATACGCGCTGCAAGCTATAACGTAAAGGCAAATGAGAGCCACCACGGCTATGATCAAGATCACGTTCGCCCTCCTCCATTCTTTCCGTAGGTTTCCCAACAAACCGGCTTTGCACGAGTTGCAGTTATAGCACAATTGGTTAGGGTCGTTGTTCCATATCGGACAATCCATATTGGACGTTGGGTTTGTCGGGTTGATCCACATTATGGGGTTCACGTATTGGTACCCACACACAGTCGGAGGCTTGCAACATCCCGACTACATAAACCATGAAAACACAACTTATCATACAAGAACGACTGAAAATGAAAAAAAAACATCAAATTTTAACATATAAACATTTAGAGGCCGTAACCCAACAAGTAGGGTAAGCACCGACTGCAAATGATTCTTTATCAATTGTATTGTAGTAAATGTAGATAAAATATTTTTATCATCTTGTCCTGACCCGGTAAGTGAAAAAAATAATATTGCCCAGGTAGGTTCTTGCTCGGTCAGCACCATTAGTCACTTAAACTAGTTGATGTTGATCGAATCAGTCGTGCTCACAACTTATTTGTTCAGCTATATGTAATTGTATGGTAGTGGTTTGATATATCAAAAGTGACTTATTCGGTAAGCTTTTATGGGAAGCTTCAAACAGAAAGCCAAGTTTTTCCAAACTTGCTCCTCTCAATTAAAAAACATCTTCCCGTCTATGAAAAAACCCTCAAAAAACATAAATCATCCCGATCTAAACAGACAGATTAATCCACCAGCAATCACTTAATGGGAAATCAACCAAAATCAACCAAAAAGCTCAAGTATCATGGGCAAGCACCAAGGACATGCATAGAGATAATAAGAAAATTGGAGGCCATGTGATGCTTTTTCTTTGAAGTTTCTTGAATGATGCCAAGAATTCAACATTAATGGAGTTTGGTGCAATTTTTTAATATCATTGCCACAAGAAAGTAGGGACACTGCCCTCTTAATAAGTCCAAGTCACCACTCATTTAGCTCAATAATCAAATGTGACAAGATTAATCAATAAAGAGCATGAACATGCTAAGTAGGCCCACAAAGCAATTCTTTTCATCAAATGCATCAAAAGGTTCAATTAAGAACCATAATGCATAAATTTCCAACTGATTAATCAATTATCGATCCTTGGAACCGCCGTAATCACCATGAAAATGCACATCTAATCACTCGGTATGCTTGTGAATTCAATAGAAAATGTGAAGCTGATTACGTAATCTTCCTTTATGAAACCCTAATTTGGTTACTGGTGCAAAATCAAGCTAGGTTTGTTTGTTTTAAGGATCATACTAACCTAATTCAGAACAATGTACAACAATTGGTGCATAAATTACAAGTTATTTAAACGAACAAACTCTCAACAATGGCGGTGATGCATAAGAACATACAGTGATACAGGAATCGGTAATAGATCGGAGGAATTGTACCTGAAGTGGAGAGATATCGGAAGAGAAGAATTGAGAAGCAGTATACGAATCCTGAGTCATTTTAGTGCAAATCGAAGACGAAGCCAAACACGACCTAATATTCCCCCAATGATCCGAATCGGTGATGTGATTCCGGAGCCAAGCCGAATACTCCGATAAACGATACTCCTTATACTCCCGTCCGTCGACGGAGTAGGCGCCGGAGGGGCGAGTGACGACGAAAGCGAGTATGAGGAGTATGAGACCGGCGATGATGAGAGCGGCATTACAGAAGAGGTAAAAAGCTAAGAGGCCTTGTTTGTTCCAGTAGGCACCGATGAAACCGGTTAGGGCGAGGAGGAGGAAGAGTATTCCGATGATGATGACCGGCCAACGGAGCCAGCGTATACACTCGTTATCTGGTTTGGACGCGAGCCAGATGCCGGCGGAGATGATGGGGATGGAGCAGAGGAGAGCTATGAAGTTGAGAGTTGCAATGATGTTGTTGCTGACCGCCATGGCTGAGCAGAGAATGAAGTGGGAAAGAAGGAAAAGATGGTAGATAATAAATGGGGATAACATTAGAGGGGTCAATTTTTTAATTATTTTTATGTGAAAAATTGTTAATTTAAGGGGTGTTTGAGATTGCTTATAAAAATAACTTATTGATTTATTTTGGTGTGGTATCGATAATAAATATTTTTGAGTGTTTGAATAAACAACTTATATCAGTGTCAAACCATAGCTAGCCTGATAACAACCTTTAAGAGCTCAAAAACCCTGTGTTAACAGGTCTCAAATGGGTTCCTAAACAACCTAAAGGCTTGGCCCGGTCTGAAGGAAGAAGAAAGTCTAATAAGAAATTTTTGAAAAAGTTAAACCATTCTAACTTACGATAAGTTGATAAGGATTTTTGTAGAAAAACATAAGTTGTTTCAAATAAACAATCCTAAACACCCCCTAAATTATATTTTAGTAATTAAAAAAATTTGATAGCAACCCATGGTAAAGAGTTATTTGGTTGGTTTTTCATTAAGTTATATATATATAGAGAGAGTTTGTTTCAAATACAACTCATTACATTTGTACAACCAATGCAACCCAATAAATTAAGATATTTATGAAAAAGATGAGAGTTCATTTATTATAATTTGAATATTTATGGAAGACGAATATGGTTCATTAATTATGATCAATACTTTATATTAAGAAACAATCAAAACTTCTATGAAATCACATATTAATCAAATGAAATGGACGGTTGAGATTGGGTTGTATTGGTTGCACAAATGTCAAAAATTGTATAATAACCAATCTCTCTCTCTCTCTCTCTCTCTCTCTCTATATATATATATATATATATATGAATAAAGTTGTTTGTGTGAATTAATCTGTCTGTATAGATTAAAAAGTTTTTGTTTCAGAAGATTTTTTCAGTATTGAAAATAAACGTGTTTTTTTAATTGGAAGTGACATTTTTAGAAAAAACCTGATTTCTGTATACAACTACTCCTTAGAAACTCACTGAATAAACCATTTTCTATATTACTAAATCACTGTCAAATAATAATTCATATTTGACATAATAAGTTGTGAGTCTCATTAAGTTCATTAAATTGTTAACGAACAGGCCAGAGCCTCTACTAGATAAAAGACACTAAGAAGTAAGTAAACATCTGTAATGTTTTAGAATTCACCAAAGAAAAATAATACAATTTCAGACTGTTTGGTTAGTTTTTTATTAAGTCTTGTATGGATAAAACTGTTTGTGTAGACTAATCTATCTGTATAGCTTGTGGAACCTTTTGTTTTAGAGTGTTTTTCATAAATGGAATGAGCAGATTTGGAAAAAGTTTGGCTTTCTGCATAAAGTTCCCTCTATAAACTTACCAAATAAGTCACTTTCTATATCATTACCAAACAGCCGTATATAATTGCACAAATTAGCTCCTCATCATGACAAGGTATAACAAATATCCTGTATTTGTTGCTGCTCACATTAGTTTTCCCCGCCTTCAAATATGACTTAATACCAGAGGGTTTTTGGCCTACCGGTATGTGAGTTATTGACCTCCTAAGAAGTCAGGGATTCAAACCTCACCAAAGATAATAAATGTATATAAGTTTATTTATTTTATTTACCGTATATAAATATTTATGAACTAGTTTGCCTATTATTTTTTATAATGATTAGAAAACAAAAAGATAATAATTTTCTAATGTTTACAAAATCAAAATACTTCAATAAAAAGAAACAAGAAAAAAAGACAAATGATGAAAGGTATAATTTCTACGGCACAAAGTACAAGTAATAGTTGGGGATGCTAATGGATTGGGTTGATCGGGTTGAAAACATTTAAACAACTCAATCCAATGTTTGCGGTTTGAAAAATCTTAACCCAACTCAACCCAACCCAACCCAACCAAAACCTTACAGGTTGATCGGGTTGGTCGAGTTGGTCAGGTTGTTACTTTGGGACATTAAAATATTCTTCTAACCTTGAATATGTTATTTCTCTACACATTATTTTTTTTCATCATCAACCATTTGATACAACTTATCTAAATTTCTTATGTATATCATATTCAGTTAATTTTCTCAATTTACATATATATGTTCACAGTTACTGAAACTGTGAACATATATACGAATGAGTTATATAGATGTGTGACTAGATTGAAAATATGTGTAAAGAACATATGTGATAGTGTAATTGTCTAAGTATATATTAATAGAAGTTCAACAATCATATTAAATTCAATAAAATAAAATGAATAGCGGGTTTATTGGATTGAGATGAGTTCAAATAATAATAACCCAATACCTATAATTTGAATTTTGTAAATCGATTAAACACCGGATTACTTTAGGTTGAGCTATTTGGTGTTGGGTTGGGTTGGGTTGGGTTGGGTTGGGTTGGATAGTCGGATTTTTTAGCATCATGATAGACTACGGTAATGCTAAAAAAAAAGAGAAAGAAAGGGGTTTGTGGTTGTCCAACAACAATGGCAAAGGTAGCAAGCTCCGGTCTCCTCAACGGCCGATCGGAGTCGCCGATTTTTTCAATCTTTCCGGCGGTTCCTCCTCTTTTCTTTCAACCACTTTATAAATCTATATATCTCTTTTAGTTGCTAAATTTCGTTGTTTTTGATTACACAATTCATGAAAAGGATCATCTGAGTGTAAAAATTTGTTTCTGTTTTCAAGAAATCCATGTCGTGAAATCAATCAGTTAACTAGATTTTGATGAATATATGGATTTGCCGGTTTGTATAATGTTCTTGCCTCAAAACTTACTGTTTCCACTTTCTGTTTCCCCTGATATTGGTTAAAGGATCTATGTTTACATGTATCTATGCTTAACACCTGTTTGTGGAAATGCCCAATTAAGCCTAAATATTCTTTTGACGTACCCATCGAATAACTGGGTGTTTGAATCCCTTGTACAACTAGAAAAGTACAGCACTTGAGTTTAAAAGCTTGGTCTACAGGCCTCATATGGAGCACCATTTTGGTAATGTTGGCCATATCTCAACTGACCTGAAAGTGCTTCCAGATTACAGGCCTAAAGTTGTCTATGGATTTAATCTGTCTGTATACATTGGGAAGGTTTTGTTTACGAGGGTTTTCATAAATGAAAGAAGTGTGTTTTTTTAATTGGGAGGGACAGGTTTGGAAATAACTTGGCTTTTTGTATAAAGCTCCCTTTTAGAAGCTTACGGAATAAGTCATATTCTATATTATCAAGCCACTACCAAACAATTATGTATAGCTGACCGAATAAGCTGTGAGTCCAATTAAACCTGTAAGCTGCTAACGAACAGTCCCTAAGTTAGTTTGGTCAATAGTTGCTTATGTAGCTAGGCTACCAACCACTTCTGGTTCTTTAAAGATCTAAAGCTTGTTTTCCATCCAAAGCTTATCTGTCAATTACTGGAAGTAAATAAGATATTTGGGTATTCCCATAACATATTTCTTTTGAATTATTATTATGGGTGAGGCTTTCTTGTGATCTTCACTTGTAAACGGAAAATTGAGGGCGTTAAGGTAGTTGGTAAAGAGGTGGTATTGGCTTCTATTGATGTGGACTCTCATAAGTGCCCTTGCATTTGTGCCTGTGTTGCTTATCTTGGTTGTTTCTCTTCCATGGTATCAATACGCTAACTTGATTTCTTCACATATTGTGGGGTTGTTTCTGGCTCAATACCTTTTAAATTTGCTTTTGAGTTCTCAACTACTACCATCTTAAGCTGCATATCATTTGGATTTTTAAGATTGTAACATTTGAACTGTGGTTGCTTCTTTTTGTTGTTGGTAACCGTGGGTGTCCGGGCCAACTTGCATGCACCATAACTAATACCATGGGGTCATGAAGATAACAATTATGAAAATCTCCAGTGACCTTGAGGAGACCCAAACTGTGGGGAGAAGCTCCAAGGCCTATCCCTTTAGGTTTAAACTATGGTAAATTGTAAAAGAGGTTTGAGAATGGCAACCTATTTGTGGAGAAAATACGGTGATTACTTTGCACACCAAGTGGGGGAAAGAAGTCCTATGTACGATGGTTGATCCATTCAAGCACCCAAAATCATTTACTCCTATAACAATCTATGTATGTGCCTTCTATACTCGGGCTGTTTGGTTGGTTTTCCATTAAATTCTGTATGGATAAAGTTGTTTGTATGGATTAATGTCTTCATAGATGGGAAGATTTTTGTTTGGGAGGGTTTTTTCATAGATGAAAGGACATGTTTATTAATTGGGAGGGCCAGGTTTGGAAAAAACTTGGCTTTCTGCATAAAGCTCCCCATTGAAGCTTACTGAATAAGCCACTTTCTATATCATTAAGTCACTACCAAACAGTCATGTATAGAGGACCAAATAAGCTGTGAGTCCCATTAAGCTCATTAAGCAGGCCCTAAGCCTTCCTAATACATCTGTTTCGAGAATTGCCTAAAAAACATGGTTAAAGTGGGCTGAATAATACAAAAGAACTTGGTAAAAAAGGGCGTGGGGACTTTTAATAGGTTGTCTTTAACTTCCTTTGTTTCGCAATGTACTGGAAATCTATATCTTACTCGTTTGTTATATCTATTTGTTCTGTATGCTAGGGTTCTTCACAAAAACAATCTCTCTAGCCTTCTGGGTAGAGGTAAGGTGTACGTACATCTTAACCTCCCCCGGCCCTTCCTCTACGTGGGATTTACCGGGTCTGTTTGGTTTGGTTCGGAAAAATACTGAGACCCAAATTCTATGGCGGGCCTTGGAAGATTTACAAAGGAGGTGCTCTTCCACCCAACAAGTATAAAAGTCAATTATCACCGGAGCTCATATTGTGGAAGAAAAGCTTCAGAGTTGCTACAAAATTCCTTGCTATATACTGATCTTGGTATGTGTATCTAACATGACTTGTACAAACCATCAATAACTCTGTTCATGTTACTTTTTTGTGCACTCTTCAAATAAGTAACATATATGTTCACTTCAAAATGACTCTTTAACAATCGCATAATTCATGCTAAATATT